TTTACGTCGTTTCCTGAAAAAACCCGTAACGCTCGGGGGGTTAAATTTACATTATTGTGTATTTTGTGTATCTCTCCTATTTTATATGTACTCATCTGATGCTTAATAAAATAAATTATTGTCACTGTAATATTTCATGTACGTTTTACCACCTACACATCACGAACATAACTTTTCAGATTCTCACTTAGTCTGAGCTTTTCCCGGTTCTCACTGCTGATCATCGCTTACCTTTCGCCTTGTGACGCCAGTCACCCCCCCTTCCCACTTCCGACCTCCTGTTACTCAGCCCAGACATTTCTATGTAAACATGAAGTACTATTCTCCACCCACTGAAATATTTGACGAAGAAATAGACTGGATTAATGAAACCAAATACCTTGGAGTCACCCTTGACCAAAAACTTACCTTCAGAACCCTTTCCGGTCTGTAGTACAAAAATTTAAAATCACCACAGCTACTATGCAACCTCTTCTTGGTAAAAAAAAGCAACTTATCTACTACAAACAAATTAATTCTATATCGCTCCTACTGCGCCCAGCCCCCTGTTATGCAGCACCGATTTGGGGACATGCAGCTAAACCAATATGAACAATTACAATTCTACAAAATAAAATTCTACAAGAAATTTCATGCTTCTTGTCTATAATTCCAAACATCTATATCCACAGAGACCTTCGAATCGCTTATTCAAGAGTATAATTAAGATTAGCGGTCAACTTCTTTATTCATACAAACCCACATAAATAGCTATAGCACTCTCAAACTCCCCGCATCCCGAGAAAAAAATCGTACCAAGTGATCCTTCCCACATAAGAATCACACCTTAATCGACTCATTCACCTAAACTGACTCTGCGTTTTACCACCCGCGGCACATCTTATAACGACATGACTTGCCACCCCTCTTTTTTCGCCGCCGCTGTGTGGGATCTCACTCGCATATTCACAAAGCCTACAGACCATTTCTCTACAATGTCTCTCATTGGATGAAACATCTGCTTGTCGGTCATATTGGAAATGGCGGTTATCGGTCCTTATAGGCGTGGTTTTAATTCAAACAAAACCTGAGGCTTTCAGTCAGCGAGGAGAAACAGCTGTTATTTCATTCGATAATTTTTTATTTTATGAATGAAGCTAAGGATTGTGTAGAATATATTTTAAATAACCTACTGATTTATTAATTTTTTGTATTTAAACTTAAACTGTTGAAAGTACAATAATTGTTTTGGCAAGAAAAATGTTTACAATCATCCAATGAAATTTAATCTCGTCGGATACTTATTTTTAACTAAATACGATAAAAAAATTAAATTATTTTTATTCTATTTGCGCTGTTGCTATTGAAACGGTTTTCGGGATCTTGGATCATCTTCTACTGGACCCTACTACAAAGAGTACAAACCAGTAGATAAAAATAAGAAAAATTAGCGTTAACAAAAATAGAGAAAATGAAGGTGTTGAATTTTTAACACCACACCCGAAGGCAAAAAGACTAATAATGACAAAGTCATTCAATAAAGTGAGGATAAACACAAATCCGTCCAGAGCAGAGTTCGTAAAAGTTCACGACCGGGGATAGAACCGACGATATAGAAGTCAGAGAAATTTTTCTATTCTCGTTGCCGTTGAGCTGCGGTTTCGCCGTTGGACTTCGCACACTTTTCGATACAGGAGGCTGATATACAAATAGTAGGCGAGACAAAATCCCAAGTAATAAGATTTGTAACCCTACGTTTCCTTTGAAAACCAATCGGAGCAAACAGTAGCAGAAACTGTCTGTAGGCTTTGTGAATATGCACCTCACTCTCTTTTTTCCGCCATCACACTCCTTTCACCCTACCCTTTCTCCCCCCACCCGATCCTTATCAGAAGTCGAGTAAAAAGATGTTTCTACATCTTGACACTCGAGAATAAAATACGATCTGTGTGTTATGTGCCCTTGTGGCTTACTTGTCATGGAGCCGGCAATGTCGCGTCAAAAACAGCAGCAGTCCGGTATAAAAGATATTGATTGATTTAAAATACATTCATGGTTAGGCTACTTCACACTTCTGTTTCATCTTCTTTATCTTACTGAGGCCCATAAATATTTTTTTTCTTTATAGTCTGGGGGCCTTATTTTTTCTCTCTTTTTAGCCCACTTTTTTATATGGTATTAAAAATTTCGTATCAAATACGAAATTATTATTCTCTCAAACGAAAGTATCCTCTTTCTTTTCTCCTTACTTTCGCGCTTGATTTTTCGTCCTGCGAGCAGAAAGATTTATCATATGCAAAACAAGACAGCTGTTTACTTTGTCTTGAGTAGTTCCCCGCTATTTGAAGTGTACCCGTATTTAGTGCTACTTTCGTTATAGCGGCTGATGATTTATGTATTTTTGTGAATGAAAATGGTATGGGTTGTCATTTTGATACTTTTTCATGTGTGCTAACTTAATTAAGAACATGAATGTTTCATTGTGAGTTTGTAGAGTTTTTGTATAATAACATTTTTAATTGTAAGTATCTATACTATAGTTATTATTTTCTGTTCTAGTCGTCATCTCGCAAATCTTCCGTTGGAGGGGGTAAAAAGAAAAGTAGTAATAAAATAGAACTAACAGATGAACAAAAGAAGGACATCGAGGATGCATTTTATATATTTGATGAGGGCAGAACTGGCTTCATTGAAGCAAGAAATCTGAAGGTAGTAGAAATATGTTTGTCTTCATTTTTTATGTTTATGTGGAAACATAGCTGTCTTAGTTGCCCTTAAGGAAAATCATGGTAAGAAGTTATAGCTACGAATATAGTGCTTTTTTTAAGTATTATTTTACAATTTGTAGTTCACATTTGCTAAAAATGAATTAATACAAATATATATGTATAAAAAAATTGGTTTTTATTTAGGCCACCTGTACATAAAGTTGTGGAAAACTATAGTCTGTTACTTTAGAATAGATACTTCAAGGCAGTTTCTTCAACCCAAACTATGACTGCTGCATGAAAATGTTTTAATTGTCTAATTTTCTAAAATCCCTTAATTCTGTTCGGACAGTGATGGCAGCAACTGTTGCAAACATAAAAGAGGGGAATTATCTTAAAGTAACTGCCACCCAGACGGTATAGCAGATAAGAGAGCCTACTGCGGTACCAAAGGGCCTAGGTTCGAATCCCGAGAAGGCTTATCTGTAATTGTCCATCTCATCAAAGGAGGTAACAGTGGCTCACCTATTACGTGCTTCCGCAATAAAGGCGCCACAGTGGCAAGCCTAAGTTGTCGTAGTATCCACCATTAGGGGAAGGGGATCTTAAAGTAACAGACTGTAGCAGTCATCCTGAGGTTCATTCCTAATTGTGAAATGGATAGCTAATGGAATTTTTTGTAACTTTTGCAATGTATCAGTTTTTAATGAAAGTTTCCTGTCACCATGAATATTGTCTGTATAAACATTTCGTGTTGGCTTATTTAATCATATTTTGTCTAATGGTTTTTGGCATTTGAAAGAAAGAAATTTACTTTAGGAAAAACACCATTTTGTGAAATTTGTAGAAAAAAAATATTGTTATCATTAAGTACAGGGTGTTTGAAATGGAACTATGACATTGCCAGATTAAAACCATCATTTACATCCAGTTCTTTTGCAAAAAGTCAGCTACATAATGCCACCAAATCATGTGTTCAGCTTTAGGTACTAATGTTGTATCATATGACACTGTGAAAGTTTAGCACTGAAAGTTCAAAAACAAATGACGATGTTGATGAGGCTTGCTTGCGAGAACCTGTGGAAGAAGATCAGTATGCAGCAACTCGAGAGCTTGCTAAGGAGTTAAACGTGAGTGCCATGTCACACTATGCATCGTATAAACTTGACGTACAAGTTCAGTCACTGGGTGCAACGTCACCTAACTTAAGCAGATAAGGGCAGATGTGTTCAGGCCTGCTCTAATCTGCTCAAAAATCAATGCAAGGACAAAATTCTAGACTGGATTATCACTTGTTATGAAAAATGGATTTACTTCAACAACACAGGCCAAAAAGGGGGTTGGTCTGCACCCGGTGAGCCTGTCAGGAGTGTCGCAAAGTGTAGTTTGACTAACAAAAATATCATGCTTTGTATTTGGTGGGATTGCATTGTTATTATCCATTCAGTTTTGAGGGCCATAAAAAATCGCCAAACTATTGTTTATGCCAGTGCTGCCAAAAGTAATTGCGGCAACCCTAACACAAGAAAGGAAGTATAATAGTAAATAACTATCTAAATATTGATGTTTTAATTTAGATGAAAGGTTAATTCATATAATATTTCTTACCGAGTTATCGCTAAAGCATAATGTCATCTGTTGGTTGTTCAAACATAATTTTCTATAATGAATGATGCCTTTTCTTTGAAAACATTTTCGGTAAAGTGCTGAATTGCCCGCTTATTTCTTTGTCGCTTTTTACAGTTCTGATGGTGATCAGATACAGATTTTAGGAAAATAGTGATGAAAATGAAAAATGAAAATATTATAATTTTAAAAGTATTAGAAAGGACTATAATCCTTCAGAGTGTTTGCCTCTAGAAGAAAAAATAAATAAATAAATAAAACTGATGAAATGGATATATTTTAATGTAATAGGTGTTATAATGTGGACTAATTTCTATTAAGAAATTATGTACTGAAATGTTTTTGATACAACAAATTGTACTAATTTACTCTATCATTATTAGTTTTTTCCCACTCTTTTTTTTGGGGGGGGGCACACTAATTATTTAGTAGAATACATATTTTTTTGACTTTTTGGTAACTGATTAGAATTCTGGTAAAGACCAAAGATATTAATTAAAATTTTAGAATTATTAAAGCTTTGGAAATAGTCATCCCTAAAAAAAGTAGTCTGTCAAAAAATGTTGCCTATCATTATGACTCATAAATATTGTTTTGTTATTAAATAATAACAAAAAGAAGCATTTAGTGAGGAACAAGAAATGAGGGAAAAAAATCTATGTAGCTGATATTTAACATTTTTACAACTGGGGGCTATTGTTTTAGCAAGGTAATGGTTATATATAAAGCTTGTGAATCCACATGCATTCAAACACATTTATGTTCTGCACATACCAAGGCATGACTTATGATAAGTGATTTGAAAATATATTAAAAATATTTGCATCAAAGGTTTCAATATAGGCATAATTGAAATCCTTGATGCAAGTAACAAAAATTCTAATGTTATAAAATATTTCCTAGAGTATCATAAATGATATTTTTAGTAGTTAAATAATTTACATATTTTCCTGGAAACCTATTTTTCCCCCTTCCAATGAAACAATAATAATGGCTTTAATAATGTATAATACTAGTTTGCATAGTTTCACAGAAAACTTTCTTCATTTCAAAGCTACATAAATGCTTGATTTAGAATATTCTGCAATTTTAGAGATATTTTCTCCCTGATCATCTTGTTTAGTTGTACTTTAGAGTGTTAATTGTTACATGCTATTGTTGCAATAATGCAGTTTCATAAAATCCTTTTTTTTTTTTTTTTTTTTTTTTTTTTTTTTTTTTTTTTTTTTTTTTTTTTTTTTATGCATTTTTCTTTTATAGGTAGCATTAAGAGCTTTAGGATTTGAACCAAGGAAAGATGAAATTAAAAAAATGATTTCAGAAGTTGACAAGGAAAACACAGGTAATTTTACTTTTCCACTATTTTATAATTCTGTTTGGGGCTAAAAGAATTGAAAAATATTTACAGTAGTCTAAAAAGATAAAGACAGTATTTAGTAGGACAGTAGTCTAAAAAGATAAAGACAGTATTTAGTAGGCCTGCAAAATAAAAATAAAAATTCATGAATATTTTAAAGTTTATTCGAACATTGGCAGCTTTTTTGAAAAATGTTAAGTCTTAAATATCAAGAAATATTGCAGTGAATAAGGTGTTGCGAACACTGAATATGATGAAGAAACAAATTGTATTTCTGTCATCTGTTATTTCCATTTGATTTTTGAGAATGATAACCACTGTTTAATTGTTGTGAATTAATAATGGTGATGTCACATTTGAGTTGTCTCACTTTAACATAACATATATTTGCCTGTTATTCTTTTAAGAATAAAGTATACAATCACTTTTGCAAATGCAGAAATATAAAATGCATGTCGCCTGTTCCACTGACAAAAATAAAGAAAATCATTCATTTGAAGTGTATTCATCCTGCTTCATTCGAAAAGTATAAAAAAGAAATAGTAAAAATACATTTCAAATATGGTACATCTCTTCTGTAGCAGCATTGGTGCGAGAAAATGGAGTTGATACAATTCTGGCTGAAGAAAATACAGTTTGTTGCCAAGTATTAAAAACATCCACAAAAAAGAAATTGACTACAGTAAAAAATAAATCAGCGGTTAATTCAGTATTTATGCAGCACACGTTATTCAATATATTGATATAGACAGACTTCAACATAAATTTCTATTTATTCTAGTATTTGATGCAATTTTATCAGTTCATTTGAAATAAGAACATAGTTCAACAGAACTTATTTAATATATATATGTTATCATTTTAAAAACAATTATGTAAATAATTAATTTAAAATAACAATATAAGTTAACATGCTAGGAAATTATATTTATTTATTAAACATACCAAAAAAGTTTTTACTTATTAAAACAACCACCTTGGCACAATCTGATGACTTTTTACTGATGAAAAGTAAAAATTCCTTATTGTCAACAAGTTAGTGGTTTTTGAAATTTTTTAAAAAGATTCTGAAACGAGCAATATTTATCGTTAACAAACACTATCAACAAAAGAAAAGGCAACATACTCTAGCAATGTAAAATCAAAATTTTAATTATTGAATAAGAAATATGTGTTACATTAATAGTAATAATAATAAAACTCTTACATTCATCTCCAAATTTTTCTGTAATTTTTTTGCCTATTATTTTTTTCCAAGTATGGTGTGATCTGGGCTACAAGGATTGTCTGCTAAACACATCTCCTTATTGTTTCTGTTAGAGATTTTCTGGCAAAGTTCTATATTCCTGCAGAAGTTTTACTAAAGTTTCTCTATTGCTGACAGGTTCCACAAACATACATTTTAAAATTAAGTTTAAGGCAAAAAATATCATGGTTTGTTTATAAAAACAGTTGGAGCTTTTAATACAAAATTAAGAACCCATGTGAAAATGGCAGTGCTACTTGGCTGAAGGATTGTAATTATCATGCAGCAACTAAGGTGATTGGGAAAATTAATTTTTCATAGACTTTTTCTGGTGCCACAGTTCAGAAATTGCTGCTAATAATGCCTCAAACATCAGCTATTAACATATATTTTTTGTTGATGAAAGATTAAAAATATTAAGAATAATAGTGATTAGAGATGAGCAGAATCGTTTTTTTAAGGGCTCGGATCGAAACCGATCACTCACTGAAGTGAACAAGTTCTTTTTAATGATTCACCGTTCACTAACATTGACCTTGCTGAATGCGTTTGGAACAGGCATGTATCAAGAGTGGTGTTCAAAGATGGGAGAAAAGCAGAAAGAATTGAACAAGGAATCAACTCAACCAAACTGCTTACTTCCTGGACTTAATTCTTTCAAATGTACTTTTGAGTCCCCCCCCCCCCGAAAAAAAAAACCTTTCTACATAGAACAACAATAAAATTCTAGAATAAAAAAGGTGCTAAAGTTAAAAAATAATGAAAACTGAACTTATTTTTGTTAAAGATTACATTATTTTATTACTATAATTGATATTTTGTTACTATTACAAAACACAGTGTGAAAGTAAATTTTTTAATTGGGGGAAGATCCCAAAGAATAATTTGTTTGCCGATAATACCGACATTTTCCTTTTTTTTTATCTAATTTGACAAAATGATACAAAATATCACTCAAGGTTCTTGTATTTGGTAGGATCCACATTTTGTTCTGCGACCTTGAAAAAATACATTAGAGGGAAAAATTTATGTTTATAAATATATGTTAATACTAAAGAAGATTAAAGAGTTGATTACAAGATGTTAGTAAAATAAATAAAAAAAAATATAATTTATTATTTTACATAAATGTTATAGCAATATTGTATAAAAAGGTAATACCTAATATACATAGCTGTACTATGACGCTGTATTCAAAGAATCGAAATGAAACTCAAAGGAACATCTCTAAGGAAGAGAAAAGAGCAAATAATCTCAAGACTCCACAGGAACCAGATTTGAAAGAGTGAATAATGAAGGCTCCATCAGAATCAGATCCGCAGCTAGAGCAGGAGTGTGCAACTCCTGAAGACCCAGATCTATGACTAGTGTCAGAGCACTGACAGCTGGGAATCTGAGCAACTAGTTCCTATAATCTACGTATTTTAAACAGATCCTCGCACTGCCAGATGGGTAAAAAAAGAGCAAACAGGAATGATCAATTTATTTAATGTTTTGTTTTTTAAATACTACACAAGCAAGCAAAAAGTACACACATATGCATACATTAAAAATATGTCAGAGACATTTCCAGTAAAATAATAAAGGAAAGACTGTTTAAGAAAATACCGTTTACATTAAGAGCAATCAATTTTTTGGCATGCTTCTCAACAACAACTCTTATAGTGAACTGTTAAAAAACTGCCTCTCTGTTTTCGCCAGAGCGCTGATCATTGGTTCAGTAAAATGAATTGATTCAGGAGGGGATCATCCATCTCTAATAGTAGCACAGTGTGGCTACCAAAAAAAAAAAAAAAAAAAAAAAAAAAAAAAACTAGTTATAGATTGTTAACTATTTGTTTCTCATACATGTGCAAATTAGTAACTGTTTGTTCCTGAATTGTGCAGAAATGTGCCAAATCCAATCTTACCCTAGGTCCAGTACAGAAGATAAGTACCTTTAATGCATTCAGAGAAACAGATAAATTTCTTCGTACAGATTCTTTCCCAGTATGCATTTTTGAGGTTAAATCTGAATATTTTATTAAATCCACAAAGAAAACAAAATATTCTAAAGATTCCCCTGCAAAATACATATTATAAAAGTAATTTAAGGATACATGATTGATTATTCTTTAAGAATATTAAAACTCATTTATTAATGTTTATGCTATTCAGTTTATAGGTAATAAATGCAGTTTTCCAATAGACTTGCAGCTCACCATCTCAGTTTCAGAAGCTGACATACATAAATAACCAACTACTATAATATTGCTGTATCCAACTGCTGCTTTTCAGTTTGAGGATTAAAGGAGAAATTAAAAAAATAAGGGATATAAATATTTATATTATGTTATTTCTCAAACTGAAGATGTGTAAAACGTTCAATTTCATTTCGTATCAAAGCAAAACAGGTTAGGGAAAGCTGCACATTATCAACAAAGCCACATCACAAAGAATAAAAATCTGACCGAAATAATGTTATGGGATAATTTTATGGTTTGGGTTAAAAAGAAAAAAAAATTGGTTTAAATTTAAATAAACCTTTTTAAGAACAATCTGGCATAGGTTCTTAGTCATCAAAGGGGAGGTTAGATTGCAGAATTGTCCCTGCAAAAAGTCAAAAATATATAGAAATTAGTGGGTGAAAAAAGAGCATAGCTTCTTAAAAAAAGGGGGGGGTTAAACATGAAATTGGCTGAGTAAACATGAATTTCTAAAATTTTGGAAAAAACTGTTTTGGAATTAATGTTATTTAACTAAAGAAAGTATATTTTCGTAAATAATAAAGCTTCAAGGAAACTCAGTTCAGGTGTTGAAGAAGCGTTGTGGATAATTTTGGTAGAATTAGAGTTAAGTTTATTGTTAAATGATTAGCTGTTGAAGATTTATCTGTTTTTTGTTTACAAATATAAGATTCATGTTTCTTGAAATGAAATTTTAATGCTCTTTTATTTTGGCTAGTATTTGTCATACCATATTGATAAAAATGCTATAAATTCCCCAAGAATTAAAATCAGGGACAGGATCTTGAAGGATAAAGCAATAGATATCTTAATGATAAATGAAAAAAATTATTCCAAGTTTAAAGAGAATATGAGCAACTTTCTGTGATGAAAAAAGGGTAAACTGGAATAACAACAAGGTCATTCTGATTAAAAAAAAAAAATAAGAGAATGCTTTGTCATTACTTATAATGACAAAGTTTTAAAAAGATTTATGAATAACTGTGGGAATTAATCTGTTGTTAGTGACAACTGATTTGATACAGAATAGTCCCTGAGAAAAGAGTGATTCCAAAGAAAAAAGCTCTATAATATGGAGTAAAAAGAGACGAATTTTTGTTTGACTGGGAGACATAAATTTAAATAAAGAGACAAACAAAAAGAGAAAAAATCAGATAAGCAGTAGTGCTGAAACTCTCTGAATAATTCTTGTGGAATTTGCAACATGTCTCAAGTAAAATTTGACATATATTGTCCAAATGCAAAGAGCATTAAAATTTTCCATCAAAGAATCCAAACTATATGTTTAAAAAAAAAGAAATGGCAGATGATCAGTTGATCATACTTTGTATTTTAATCACAGTTTCACTTTAACCAAAATTATCCATTAAACCTTTTCAGTTGGTAAATTGAATTTCTTTGAAACCATTTTTTCAATTATGACATTTTTCAGTAGTTACATAATAGCACAACCACCTTAGTAGATGTCACCAAATATTCAAAATGTAGAAAGCTGTCAATTATGAGGATAACTAGAATAGAAGAGAAACACGCCTATGTGACAATCAAAATCGCAATAACAACCTTGTATTTAGTGTACATATATTAAAACACTCAATAATTATCCTCATAATCAAAATTGCAATAACAACCTTGTATTAACCATATATATATTAAAACACTCAATCAATTTCGAGGGCAGCTGGCCCTCGAAATTGATTGTTTTAATATATATATGGTTAATACAAGGTTGTTATTGCAATTTTGATTATGAGGATAATTATTTTTCAGTCTTGCAGTGTCACCAGTTTTGTATATGCCTTCCTTTGTTGCATTCAAAATTTTGTTAATTTTTCAGTGTCATATTTTTTATCTTAAATTTAATTTGAAAATGCATTTGGGATCTGCTAGCAATGGAAGAAATTGCAGCTTAATTACTGCAAGAATGTGGGAATTTTATCACAGAATCGCTGAAGGAATAATTACTTTTAAGTGTTTTCTTAAATTGATTTGCAATGAAATTTTCACTTGAACAAAAGAAACGAAAAGTAATCAGTTGTTTGACTGATTGATTTATAAATATATAATTAAAATATAAATGTATGATTGTAATAAATAATTTTTTGCAGTTATGAAGTTTATATTTCTTTTTTACAATAAAAAATTCCCTAATTGCACTAAGGTGATTATGTTAATATGTAAGTACTCTTTTTTCATCAGCTGTTCCAAAATTTTTACATTTGTTGACCTTTTTCGCTTTTTGAAAGATAGCACTCTGTTAGTTTTTTCCTTTGTCTCAACCATCACACAAATATTTGTTTATGCCTAAAGGAAAGGAATGTACACTCTATAACAACAACAACAAACAAACAAACAAACAAAAAAAAAAAAGAAAAGAAACAAGAAGGAGTTGTCCAATTGAAGACAAAAAGTATGGATAAGAAGATTATGTACAGAATAGAAAATGATGAAAATTTCTGAACAATTGAATTATTTATTTCAGAGTTACATAGTTACAGAGTAACGAGCTCAATAAGGTGTTGACCCACCTCTAGCATAGATGCAAGCTGCCACACGGCATGGCAAAAACTGAAAAAGTCCCTGTATGGTTTCCTGTGGTATTTCTTGTCAAATTTGCTCCAATTGTCAGGCTGGGTCATCAACATTCCCTGACAGATGCAGTTGCCTTCCCATCATATCCCAGACATGCTCGATGGGAGAGAGAACTGTCTAGCCAAGGAAATGTTTGACAAGCTGTATGACAGTTCATAGCACCACGTGCCATATGTGATCTGGCATTATCATGCTGAGAAATAAGGCCAGGGTACTGCAAAAGGAATGGTAGCAAAACAGGTCCCGGAATGTCATTGGCGTACTGCTGTGCTGTAAGTGTGCCTCTAATGACGACCAAAGGGGTCCAGGTATCAATGGAAATGACAGCCCAGATCATAACTCCCGGTTGAGGGCCGGTGTGGAGCGCAGTAGTGAAAGCAGGATTGGCATGCTACTCTGGGCATGTTCAGACATGTCTTCAATGATTGTCACAACATAGTTGGAAGCGGATTCGTTGCTAAAGACTATAACGTTTCCAGTCAGTGAGTATCATTCCGACCTGATCGAGCCAAGCACCACTGTTATCTGGCTCGACAGTGTGTATCTGGCGTAATGGTAGGTAAGAACGTAGATTTCGTTCTATCAACCGCCTGTGAATGGTCAACACTCATGTGTGGAGCGCATGTCTGATGGTTGATATCAATGATTTAGGTACTGCGACAGCTGATCTAACAATCACTCTGTCCTTCCAATCTGTTGTGGCTGTAGGTTAACTGCTACCATCATAACGCTGAAATCTGCCATTGTTATTCTGATGAAATTAGAAGATGGTAGCAATTAGAAGATGCTGGCCATTCTTGCCAGAATCTTCTAATTGCCACATTGCTTCACCTCGCATGATGAGTGTTTCTCCGATTTGCCCAACCTGCCTCTTTCAATCCAGTGATACAACTTCTTTCAAATTTTGACAGTTGCTTGTACTGAGCTCAAATTCTGCAGCGAGGCATTTTTTCTGTCATCATATTTAAAAAATATATACATTGATTACAAATAAAATTAGTAAAAATCACGGGAATTAAATTTTAAAAATAACCATACTGCATGCATTTATATAAGAATGCTGAAATTTCATTTGCATAAATAACTCATCAATTTTAATACAATGCCTTAATGTAAATTTTATATTATTAATTATTTATATATATGAAATATTAAAAGCACAAGGAAAAGCCGGAGCAGTGGCGATGTGTGCTTAGATCCATATTGAAGAAGAATTTTGATTGCATAGTATCTAAACTTGGCAGTCGAGGCAGTTTTAATTTCATTTTTATTTGCAATTGATATTTGTGGCCACAATCACTTGGCACTCCAGTCATGTCTTTTCACAGAAGATTTACATTTTTGATATTGTTGATATAGAAAGCAAGCCAGCGAAATTACATCTTAGCACAGTAAAGAGCAAAAGCTGAAGTGTGTAGTTATGCAAAATGGAAGCACGCGAAGAGAAATGTTTTGGTTTGCAATTTGGTGATTGGTCAAGAGGCATCTGCATTAAGGGTTATGTAAGATCACATGATTAATTTGAATGACGTAGTTTAGACTAAAGTGCTGTTTTCAGGACAGATAGATGAAGTTCGAAAAAGAAATAGAAAATAAAAGAGGTTATAGTGAATTAAATTTAGAAGTTTGTATTTATATTTTTTATCCTACATATATATTTGTTAATACCTTATAATTATGTTCATATACATGTTAAGTATTAAATGAACACACATGAAAAAGAGAGAGGTATCCTGAGAGAATTTATTTATTACAAACCTTTGAATAAAGTGTATGATTTTTATATGAATAAAATACTTTTCATTCTTAAAAAATTTTTGATGATTTGTAGCATTTATTTTATTATTATTTTCATTTGCAGGCAAAATAGCATTTTCAGATTTTTTGAAGATCATGACTGATAAAATCAGTGACAAAGATACAAATAAAGAGATTATGAAAGCATTTCAGCTTTTTGATGATGATAATACCGGTAAAATATCTTTTGCTAATTTGAAACGTGTTGCATTGGAATTGGGAGAAAGTCTCACAGATGAAGAATTACAGGTAAGTATTTTATTAATTTTAAAGATAAATTAAGGTTTTTGAAGGTATTTGAAGTACAAAATGTATTGCTTGGACAGTTAAGATTTTATGGAGTGCTTTTTCATTTATTTGAAAACAAATATTATTCATTTGAAATTCAGATATAATGATTTGTTTATACATAAAAATAATTGTATATACATACATTCATATTTGTATAACTTCCCTGTTTTTCACTAATTTTATATCCCAAACAAAGGATGGATACTACTCTTGTATGCGCCCTCGGGTCACCAAATGCGGTGATATATGTTGTGTGCTGGTATTTGGCACGATTGAGTGTTCTACGGTGGTTTTGGGGGTGATGTTGGTTTCTATGGCAACCCTTTTTATGTGGAACCTTGGATTTGCTAGTTGGTTCGTGTGGTGTGTGATAATTAAGTGATTTATGACGTGTTGGCAAAATTTTAGTCGTGTGCCTGGTACAACTATTTTTTCAGGTGGCTGGAAATTCTACAATTATTTAGGAGAAGGTTTTGAACATTTATTTGTGAAAGATGGTATCAATTTTGTGGATATTGAGTCTGGCTGTCATATAAATATGATAGAGATTACGTTGCGGCATGTTAAAGCTACATTGCCTACTTATAATCGGAAATGCGATTTTGTGTTTTATTTGGTGGTTTATATATTTTTCCATCATTTTGAAACACAAGAAGATGCATTTAACAAATTTGTGGTAAAATTGTTTCGGTGATGTTTGAAATTGGTATTTCTGCTATTCGAAGAAGCATTCATTCATGGTAAGTGCATTTTATTTTATTCTTGCTCTTATTTCGTAGAATGTTATGTTCATTGTTTTTTTTTTTTTTAGTATGAATATCTGTTGTTATTGCTGTTTTTTTTTTTTTTTTTGAATTGTTTGAAATTTATTTTATTTTATTTATTTATTTTTTGATTAGTGCACAATGCCTGTATTGTGCAATTCATATATGTTTTTTTCAGTTTAAACAGAACGCTGTGTACATGGTATTCTTTGAAATTTATTGTTATGTTAATTTACTTAAGCTAGGTGTGCATAGTTCGTAGATTCCTTCTCTGCATGAATTGTGAAATTATGTGATGATTTTTTAAGTTAAAACATATCACTGTGTACATGAATTCTTGTCAAATATTGTTGGTTAGAAACTTCACATTTTTGCTATCTAAATTTTTTGTTTTTGTTTCGGATTTTTAGATTAAATTCTGTGTTCAAAACATGGTGTTTGCATGTGTGAAAATCGCGTTTTTGAAGACATTTTAGGTTTAAAGTTCGAAATGTAGACAAAAAATTTAGATAGTAATATAACACTGTGGAGTGTTAGTCGCCAAGCGAGGGCATATATAAAAATAGTTCCAAAGGATGTATGCAGTATTTGAAGCAAGAATTTAATACTATAAAAAAGAGTATATGATGTCATAATGTTACACTTGGTTATTATCTTCAGTATTAGTTTTATATTATTATTTTAACATTTTACAGTATTACATGATTTAACACTTCACAATCAATTTTCAGGTAAGATTTCACCATTTAGGAAAAAGGCTTTAGTTGTGATAAAAATTGAATAACAGTGGTGCTTAAGATCATTTTGCTACAATGTACTAATACATAGATTCTAATAAAATCATTTTCTATAGGAATCGTTGCCCCTTTTCATGGAACATCTTTCAAAGCTCGTTTTCTGGTTCACAAAACACTTGCGAAAGACAATGCAGAGAAATTTATGTTGATCGAGATCCTTTTCATTTTCAAGTTGCCCAGGACTTTACTTTGCCAGACCAAGAGAGTTTAATTTAATTTTCTTGCAATAACATTCTGAAAACAAAATTTGCTTGCTCAAATTTAATGGAGTTTTGGATTTCAATCAAAACTGAGTATCCAAGTTTAACCTTTAAAGCTCTAAGGATTCTCATTCCTTTTGCAACATCCTATCTATGTGAAGCTGGATTTTAAGCTACCGCTATAATAAGGACCAAATATCATTCGAAAATTGGTGTGAAGCAAGAAATGAGAATACCTTCTTCTATGATTTGAAATACTGTATGGGAATCGGCAAGCGCACCTGTCACATTGGCTTTCTAATTTGCTATTGAAGGTTTCTTTTGTTTGTACTTGATTTGTATGTTTTCTTACCAATTAAAATTACAGTCAAAAGTCTTTAATCCGGACTCGTCGGGACTTCAGCAATTCCAGATTATCGGTTTTTCAGGATTATAGATCATCAGTTTAAATCTGGTAAGATGGCATGCAAAAAATTATAAAATTAAAAATATGAAACTGTAATTTATGAAATAAAGAGCAATTAGGATCTAAAGGGTATCAAAATTTACAAAAAAAAAGCTTAATATTTATTTGTTTACTTTATTAAACATTTCTTTCAACGCGCGCATGCGTAAAGCATACATTATGCATAGTCGAAATTAGAAAATTGCAACCAGAAAACTATTTGATGTGTATTCATGATATTTATAATGACGAGGAATTTGATTTAAATCATATCAAAGATGGAGTACATCGAGATGAATTACTGCATTTAATAAAGAATTATAAGCTGAATAAAATAAAAACATTTGCCCTGAAGATAAGGATAGTGCTGACAGATCAACTTGCAGTTCATTGCGCGGCGCAACGTCCCCCCCCCCCGGGCAGAGCAGCGTGAAATTGATAAACAGATTTCGGAATCGTTAGAGAAACAAAGGATATGCTTTTATCCATTTTTTGCAGCAATTCCACTTTTCGTTTGATGGACATCGAAACATGCTTTCGCTTTGTAGATCCTTTGGCAGCTCCAGAATCAGAAATTCTTTTTGACATAATCAAAAGTTCAAGCTTAATTTTTATAAAATTGCTCTAACAGTCTGCAAAAAATAATAAGCCGGATCTAATTAGAAGATTAAGGAACAACACAATCTGCAACATTAACTGAAATAGATAATCAGATAATTTTAGCTTAGCTTATACCGTCCGTTATACATTAAGCGTGCATGCGTAAACATATATGCGCATGCGTAAATGCATTATGCGTTTACGCATGCACAGAAAGTTTGTAGCTTTGAGGTCCGGATTATGGATGTCCGGATTAAAGACTTTTGACTGTAGTATACTTTTTCCCTAAAATGTTTTCGTTTCTGTGCCTAATTAACATATAGTAGAAATATTGCAACCAGGTGGCATCAAAAAATAATAAAACTCATACCCTTATGTAGGGAATAAAATTACCAAGAGACAGCTATTGGTAACTTACTATCTTGACTTACTGGAAGTAAGATAATTAAAATTTGAGTAATTGACTATGTTTGAATGAGATTATAATTACCAAAGAATGTTATCCATGAAAAAGGAAGCAATAAACTAATTTTTAGGAATACAATTTAGTGTAACTATTTAATACAGAGACAAATATTTACAAAATTGATAATAAAATGTATATTGTTATAATTTTATGTAAAATGAGAATTTAATTACCAGAATATTCACTACTACATGATTAGACACCTATTTATATAAATAATTATCAATGAAGACAAAACTCTTATTTTTTAGTAAATGGAAGGACTGTAAATAGTAAAAGATTCATCTCGGGCAAGGGGTGTCATTATGCACTTAATATCATATAGGACAACCTATGCTGTTTAAAACCGCTAGAATCCTCTTTGAAAAGGACGTATACAAGTTTTGGATAGTGGTTAATCATATGTTTTACTATTCTTCAAGCAGTTCATTCTGTTTTCTTACACAGACCACAGTGGTTCATTGATGCTTAAGTTTGATCATTGTGGTGACTATGGAAAGTGCGCAAGTGCTTTCTTACGTCCATGTGAAGTTGGACTGTGTGAGCTGACGCATTATAATTTTAAAACTTGTAATAAGTTGCAGAAGAAAAATATATTTGCATTATGGAATGGACAGTGTCATCCAGAATAGTTATAATCACTCTTAGTCATGCTGCAAAAGTGTGGTTTAAATGTTTAAAGTGTGTTGGAATTGCTATAGTATTTCTCTGTAAAAAAAGGCATTACTCTTTGGGTGTTATAATCAATACATTGGGTTGATTCAAAATTGGATTCTATAAATGCATATTAAGCTTGGCAGCCATTAACCTCCTATATCTCTGACACTGAATTTTATTTTCCTTCCATAAATGTATCTCAAGTTAGTATTAGTGCATCAAAATGATATTTTAGCTTTTTTAGCCATATAATTTTACATTTGGTGTTGGAGTAATTTCATTTGTAAACTATTTATGAAAACAATTTAGAATAATTCCAGCTACTATCTTAAAAACTCATATTTATTATTCCAAGAAGTATTTTTAAATATGGTGGTTAAACAGAACATGCATTTTTTTTTCCAACTTAGAACAGATCTTATCATATGGCTTTCACATGTCCATAGAAAAGTTGTCAGCCTTTGATTTAGGTAGAGTCAAATGCTGTTTGAAAGAAGATGCTGATGTCTCGATAGGAACACACATCTTGAATTATATGAAATACATTTTTCAAGCTTCCTTCCTGTGTTTCTGTGTCTTTGTGAACTTGTAATTAAATGTGTTTTTTGAATAATTACTCAATTATTCTGTTTCTGATATGTAGGAAATGATTGATGAAGCTGACAGAGATGGTGATGGTGAAGTTAATCAAGAAGAATTTCTTCGAATAATGAAGAAAACTTGTCTGTACTGATATCCGAGCTGCACTACATACAGTTATTAATGGTTTTACGATATTTGTTCATGTCAACATCTGCTGTAATTTTTGTACACTTCATACATGTTATTCTTATATCATTGTACTATATATGTAGTCCCTTTTCTGCATATCAGTATATTATGAGGTTGTTTGTATTTTTATTCCAAGTTTACTTTGTACAAATTTACTTTTTTTATTGAAAATAAATTTTCTCTTGCATGTTATCTTGTTTACAATACGTGTAAAGTTTGAAAATTCGAACCAAATAACAAGTAATTTTCAAATTGAATTTAATTGACAGTACTGCACACATTGTATTAATCTTTCTTAAAAAATGATGTAAACAACAATCAGTCATTAAATCTCTCTTTAAATACATATTTTTTTTTTATGTAAGGGAGAGCTTTGATACCCTTGCCATTTATTACAGCTTCATCATCATAGAAACAATGATTTATTTTATATAGATAGTCTGAAGAATGTGAATAACTACTGTACTGATATTTATAAATAATAAGGAATCTGCAGAATGGAAGCAATTGTTCTAATGGACAGTACTTTGTTTGTAATTTTATTTTCATTTAGAAAACTATGGTTACATACATCTATCACAGTTTGAAAATTATTTTAAAGGTGCTGCAGAGTTGACAATAAATTCTGGTGTTTTTTTCCCCCTTTCTTAAATGAAAGGGAAAAAATGTCAGGATGATTTTAAATTAAATTTTTTATATAGAAGAAGTGAGTCTCATGTTTCAGATAAACTAGTTATAAAAATGTTAAATAAATTAAAATGTTAAGTTTCAATAAAAGTTCCAAAAATAATGAGTTTGAAAATCTGTGTAGAGGTAATACAGTCATGTTTAAAATTTTTAAAGTATAATATTATGTCTTAAGTATTTTGGTTCAATCTTTTTAGACATGTTGTTATTGCAACAAAAGTAGCAGAGAGCATTAAAATAGATTTAGGAATAGAAATCATCTTTAATTATTCAAATACTAAGTAAAATATTATTAAGATTTTACAGTAAAGTATTTATACCTCAAATGATTTCTTCTACTTGAACAACTCTAGTATTTGTTTTCTGATTAGGTAAAAAATGTTAGGGAAAATTACTGCCAGAGGCAGGCTATTTTTAAAGTATATTTCAATACCTGGCTGACTTGTGTGCATCAATCATGTAGTGCAGTGTAAAGATAACATGCGACTGTTTGCTGCAATATTAAAAAAGTTTTGAATAGCAGTGGAAGGTAATTCTATATGATAAAGTGATATTTTTTAGGGTTATTTATAATGCAAATATTTATAGATAATTTTCGTAATAACTAGTTTGCTAATATTGTACCTTCAATTAGCCTTTAATTTGCTGTAATTAAGTTTTATTTGCTTTTAACATTCTGTAATTAAATACTGCCTTTATGTAATGATTGCTTCTAAATATCATCTTTTTACATTGATATTATGTTTGAGATTGAGTGGGATATTTCTTTAGGAGCTTCCAATGGGATAATTGAATAAATGCATTTCCAGAAGTAAAGTTTTAGACTACTTTTGCAATATTATTAAGAGTTCCATAGATAAAAGTGTATATATTATTATCATAGTGTGAATTTGAATATATATTATTGTCATTATAATAATTTAAAATTCTTGTTTAAAACATTCTTAGAAAGGCTAATAAAATGCTCTTTTTTTTAAAGAGCAGAATTAATATTACTTTAAAGAGTTATGAAAGCAGTAATCTGCCTCTGCCAATAATCTTCCTAACATCTTTTGCTTTATCAGGAAATGAATAGTGGAAAATGTATAAAAGGAATAAGGATGCATACAAATTCTTTTTTTCCTTTTAAATCTATTGTCCTAGAATTGACACTTGTATCTGCTAAAAATGATTTGGATAGAAACCATTGTGTAATTTGCGCAAATTTATTAACTTGTAAAATTACGCAAAATAAATCTTTAAACATTAAAATTTTTTGAAACAGTTTGCTCCATGTTTGTAACAAATCTTTTGTTATTCAGAAGTCAGTTTTAAAATTTATATATATCTATATCTATCTGTTTATCTATATACAGGGTGCCCACTAAAGTCCAGTACTACCCGTTTAACTGCCGAATGGTTGGAACTATAGTCATAAAAGTTGTGTCTACATATAGTAAAGTGGCTCTGCACTACTACATGAGATAGCTTACAGCGCCACCTGGTGGAAAACAGCGGAGTTAGCGTCCCTATCTCGAAAACTATACGAGATAGAAAGAAAAGGTGAATAACAAAGTTGTAGAGCATCGTAGTTTAGTACAAAAAGACACCTTGAGAATATGAATGCTAAAAACAGAACGCTGAAAATGCACATTTGTTTCTTCGCGATTTCCGAAACTGTGACGTCATGAAACAATCTTAGAAAGGGAAAAAAAAAAAAAAAAAACTAGTTATCACTAGCTACCTTTATTTTTGATGTTCAAACTTCTCTCCGTCAGCTGACATTCACATCTGGAGCCTTGTTAGAACTTCATGTTGCACGCGTTGTAGCATAGCAGTTGACACGTTTGCAATGTTTGTCGAGTGGTCGCATACACCTGCTGTTTGAGGTATCTCCACAGGAAAAAGTCCATTCTCCGAAACCACCATACCCGATTATTCGTTCTCCGAATTCCTCCATTAGGTACTACTTCACTTGTGACGTCTTGTGCGCACGCGCGATGTCATGTTGGAACCATCCTTTACGGAGTTGAAGCAACGGCAGGTTTTCAACAAAATTGGGTATTATGTTTTGCAGAAGTTCTACATATCGTGCGACCGTTAACGTACCCTGGTAAAATATCGGGCCGATTAGTCTGTTATTATAAATTCCACACCAAATCGAAAACGTATTTTATGTCGAACGCCGGCAGAACATGATGAATTTTCCCCAGTGCCCAGTAATGGGTGTTCTGCCTGCTGTACATTTCATTCCTCGAAAAGCATCCCTCATCCGTTCGCACTATATCTGCCAAGAATGTTGGCTAGAGCTCTATCTGATTCATGACGAAGTTGCGCTATGCGAACAGTCTCTCGACATCCCCGTTCGGTAATGTCTGATTAGTTGTGGGCCGGTATGGATGAGGACCTAATTCATTTAGGACTTTTCAATAGAGATTTTTTGAGAGGCCACAGTTTTCACTTATCTCTTGTGTTGCTGTTTGTATATGTGAGGCCGTATCATAAAACACCATCCGGCTGTACTTTCCGCCCTGCCTTAGCGGGGCTGCCGGATCGCAGTCGGCTAGTCACGCAGCCTGTTTCACTTAAACGTTTTACAATCTGTAGGATGGTTTTGCGTGTAGAATGCGAGACTGCAGAAAACGTTGCCGATACAGCCGCGCAGCCGATCGTGCTTTGCGCCCACATTCACCGTAAAGTAGATCATCGCATAATAAATCATTTTTTGAAAATCGCTTCATGAACATGAGCTTCAACATGCAACCCCGAGGAGGTATCTCTTTTATAGCTGTCTCAGGTGAACAGGTGTGACGTTTCATACACTATTTGCATAACAAATTCGTACACCAAGCTCAAGTTGCATTGAGTTCATGCGTTTTGCGACACGACTGTGCACAATCTGCATATTCTCTACTCTGTATTGGCAATCAGTGCAACGATGAACCCCACGGGGTTTGAACCACAGTTCTCTCGACTGTGAATTACGAGCAACGATGTCACGATGCGGACTCGTGTTTCGTCCAAGAGATAATCTTTTTTCTTTCGTTTAAGTTTTGTGACGTCACAGTTTCGGAAATCGCGAAAAAACAAATGTGCGTTTTCAGTGTTCCATTTTTAGCATTCATATCCTCAAGGTGTCTTTTTGTACTAAATCAACGATGATCTACAACTTTGTTATTCACGTTTTCTTCCTATCTCGTACGGTTTTCGAGATAGGGACGCTAACTCCGCCGTTTTCCATCAGGTGCCGCTGTAAGCTATCTCATCTAGTAGTGCGTAACCACTTTAAAACTATACATAGACCCCACTTTTATAGTACTATAGCTGTATAGTATTTTACCACTATAGCTGCTGCCGTTCGGCAGTTAACGGGTGATACCGGACTTTAGTGGGCACACTGTGTATTTCATATTAAATGACATGAGATAAAATGTTCATATTGCTATAATTTACAGTGTTTACATGATCAAATCCAACTGCATAATTTATTCATGTATCTGAACTATGCATTGGTTTTCTGTTCTTGATGATTGGAATAAATATAAAATTTTTGCTTATGGAAATGAAGACAATTCTTAACAAAGATTAAAACAAATTTTTTAAAACTATTAAATGTCCATTATTATTTGTGTTAATGTAATATGTCGATGCCGATTATGGTTTTCCTTGGAGGTGTATCTTCTTTAAAATATTTAAATTTAAAAACAGGGGAAAAAAAAAAAAAAAATCTGCTTTGATTTCTTATAGTCATTAAGCTTAATTTTTTTTTGTAAATAACATAATTTTATGGAAAATAATAAAAGTGTAAAAAAAAACTTTGCATATTAAATTATTCATATTAGGCCATATAAATTATTCATATTCATATTAGCCCAAAGGGGCTATTAATTAGTCTTGAAATATGATTTTGCTTTGAGTCACTTTTAAGTGTCTTGTTTCACTTTTCACTCGAGTTTATGACCATAAAAGATATACCAATATATATATATCATCATACCAATCTATATATCAATACCAATACCAATACCATAGCAACATATATATATGTTCATTTCTCTTTTATGAAGTTCTGAAAGCAATGTGATTTTCATGAACTTATTTGAGTAAGAACATTATCAATGTTCTGAGGGTGGAAACGTAAATTTTAATTGGAAATAATTAAAAGTAGGTTTGACCCACTAGCGACCAAGTGATAACGTCGCTGAACACTGGTAGTTCGGTCCGAGATTCTGATCCCACGAACAGGTTGACTGCATAGGCGTTTGTCCATGTGTAGCATGTATAGGAGCCAGTTTCTCTTAAAATGTCCTCCACAAAGACATCCCTTCCCTTAGCAGATAGCCCTGGGGAGCTTTGCTGTAATCAAATAAACCAAAACATTCAAAGTAGGTGCTCTTTAATCGAATAAAAATTGGAAAACTTTAATTCACTTTAAAATTAGGCAAAATTTAGCTTTGATACTGGGTAGTCTTTGGTGAAGAAGCAATTAACTCTGAGAAGAAAAAGGATCCGTATCGGTTTTTCCCTGAAATATATTCAAATTCTAAATATTGTTTTGGTACTGGATGTATTGGGAAAAAAACTGATTTTTAATTTAGTTAATATTTTAATAAAGTAATTAACAATGATATCAAACACTATTTGAATACTTTGTCGCACTTCTGAAAACAATACTTGAATTATTTGTCAAACTTGTAAGACTATTTGGGGGCCGAGCGGTAAAGACGCTGAACACTGGTAGTTCGTCCGAGGTTCGAATCCCGCGAACGGGCTGGCTGCATGGGCGTTTTCGCGGTTTTCCCCACGTGTAACATGTATACGAGCCAGTTTCCCTTAGAAAGTCCTCCACGAAGGCATCCTTCCCTTTAGGCAGATAGCCCTCATGTGCTTTGCCATAACTGAATAATCCAATCCAATCCAATCTAAGACTATTTGAATCTAATGTATTGTACCGTATTGTCAGACCAGTAGTTAACTCCCATTCGTGAACATTTCCATTCTTAAAACTGCAATATAATTTTTAACATTATTTTCAGTAAGAATAAAATGTGTATAGATATGGGCATAGGTACCCATCAGTTCTACTATAACCTCTTAAGCTAATAATTGGTGTATGCTTATTTAATTTCTTGTGATTTTGTGCTGTGTGTCCGAGGCCCCTATTCTCCGGCTATGCGACAAGAGACAGATTTCACGAGTGAAATAACATATGACGCACCTATCACATAGGACGATTTGTGGTGCCATTCTGTAGTCAAATTATCACTCCGTAACTTATTAAAGAAAGCAAATTAATAATAAGCTATTTTATTACCGCAGTTTATGAATTAAAAAACTGCAGAGAACTTATTAATAATTTAATAAAGTGGAATGTTCAAGTTAAACAAAATTCTATTACTATAGTCAACTTAAATTTGATGATCACTTGGTACTATCCTATACCTGATTATCAATTAACATTTATTTTATCAACGGTACCTTTTATAGCCGAAGATTTCTCTTAAACTAATCATAGCAGCGAAACTGCGGGATAAAGTAAACACAACTTCTTAGTTTGAGCTAATGAGCTCTATTTATAGGTATTCTAACTTCTCCATTGCTTTCTCTAATGTATATTTTTCTTTTACCACCTGTTAACATAGTGATAGAGAATTCGGCTGCCATATCTTTGACACAGGTTCGGATCTTGGAAAATGGAAGAATGTTTATTAGTGTGTACTGTTTTCGTGGCATGGAGACATTTAAAGAACTGTTGGATCAAAATTCCTTTCGAGAGGTTGGTGATAAGTAAAGATGGATGGGAGAGTCTCGGATAAGTCCTCCGAAAGATTCTGTTTCAAAACTGGCATGGAGCTGGGCAAATTTTGAATCGTTACCTATAGATGTCCAAAGTCTAATAATCTAATGACAAGCTCAACCTTTGAAGAGAATGTTTACACATTTTTAGAACGATTTCGAGGTCGTTTAATCAACGTCTAAAATTCAAAGAGTATTTTTTTTTTTTTTAATGTTCGATTTGATAGCCTTTTTTCTGGACTATAAACCATCATAGTAATTTTTTGTAATTTAAGTAAAATTTCCAGGCATATTGATTTCTATACCTCTTTCACTACATTCCAGAGTCCATCAAACACGGTGCATCATAACGTGGTGGGTTTGCACTTAGAAAGAGCTCTCTTCAACAGACCAAAAGCCATCGGTCAAAAGTATCATATTATTTGAAACATTATAAGGTATTTTCAGATTCAATTTTTCATTAACAAACTCAACGA